AGGGTTTGCACTCAAAAAGGATAATTACGGGGAAACAGCAGGTACCTGCTTGAAGTTATATACGTATTTTAATCCACCTTCTGCTTCATTTAAGTTTTCTCCTGCATTATCTAGTAAAAGGAGGGATTTTGTAGGGGGAAACCACTCGGTGGCTGTGGATTCCTCCCCAAAAGCCCCAAACCTCACTCAGGGGAGCAGAAATGGGGTGGAAGGAAGGAATAATGTGAACACGCACAAAAAAAAGAAATCCTATCGGAAACACTTTATCCAGATACGGGGTTGATCCTGACCCATAGCTTCAAAATTCGTGAAGGGCCCACAGCCGTTCGTCCCAGTTGCAGCGGGCTCGGCACAAAGTCTCTCCGGCCGGCGTTGCCTTGGGTCAGGCTTCCTAGGGAATCCATTTAACTTAAAATACGCTTGCGTTCATGCAGAGCCCTTCCGTTTCACCATGGGTCTGGAAAGGAGGAAGGTGTTTCAGCCCTGACAACTGAGCTACTCTTACCTCTCCCTCCTTCCTTCGATTAGTAGCCATCAGAAGGAGACAGTAGGGCAGCCAGATGCACATGAATACATCTAGGGAAACAGTAAAACCAGCCCAGTGAAGTGTTTTGAGTTTTTTTTCTCCTTGATGCAGAAAATTCTACTGCCTAACCCTGCCAGATCGATGGCTCCGCAGATTGCTCTTTTCTTAGAGGCGCGAATGAAAGGACTGCTTGCTTCTTTGCAGTTGAGCTCAGGCTGCCAGGCTGGGGCTGGGGGCAAAAAGCGAAATAATTCATGGCAACTCCTTATTTTATTGCAAGGTTAACCTTGTCTCCCTGTCACGGGGAGAGGGCGGATAAGTTCGCCCCACAGATATTGGCCCTGGGTTGTTTAATCAGAAAACCAGTTTTTATTATCCCCAGCCTTTTGGAATGGTTGGTTCGTGGAGTGTCATCTGTCAGAAGGAGCTGCCTGGCTGATCGAGCCTGTCGGGAGAAGTTTCCCACCTGGGATTTGCTGTGGTGCTGATGCTTCCTCCGATTTTGTAACCAAAGCGGGAGAAAAAACCGTCTCGTCCCGGTGTTTTTAATGTTTCTCTTGAACACGCAGGTATCAGCACTTCGGTGCTCACCAGCAGCCTCTCCACACCCCGTGTGGTGCTGCAGGAGGAGGGCAAAGGGTTTGAGGAGCCTGGGTTTGAGGCACGTGTTAAACGGGCCGGGGACGAAGCTTATTTCGAGCCTCTTAGAACGTGACGTGTTTTCACAAAGGCGATTTTCTGTGGAGGAATGAGGTTCCTCTGCAGCCGGCAGGCAACGACCCCTCGCTAACCTCGTCCCCTCCTTCCGTTGCAGTGACGATGCAGCAGGTGGCCAGGACGGTGGCCAAGGTGGAGCTCTCCGACCACGTGTGCGACGTGGTGTTCGCCCTCTTCGACTGCGATGGTGAGTCACAACCCAACCCTGCCCTGTTCCTCTTGGCTAGGCCAGGCCAGAGTCAATCCGGGTGAGGAAACACAGGGGAAAAAACTTGCCTTGGCCATGGCTCTTCTTGCCACCGTCCTCTCTTTGGCCGTGGGTCTGTTGTGATGCTCCTGCCCTTCTAGGAGGAGCATCCCCCCTCCCTGCCAAACTCTGTTTTGTTCAGCAAAACGAGCTGTTGTGCTCCAGTGTTGGAAATGAGCCGATCTGGTGCTTTGTTATCTCCAAAATCCTGGATGAGTATCAGCTGAATTAATTAATGGCAGCTCTGTGCCCCGCTGGGAAGCTCAACGCTTTGCTGGCCTGCGAGTGCTTTGGGGTAGCTTGTTGCCACACTGAAGCAGTCCCGGGTCGATTTAATAAGAATTGTTGGAGGGTTTTGCCACCGGGGGATGATGGCAGCGGGTCAGACCAGGAAAAAAAAAATCAGACCTGGAAAGCAGCAAAAATCTGCAGTTGCCCATAACTGTCAAGCCAAAATCAGAGACCTTGCTGGCACCCCTGCTTCTCCAGCCCAGTCCCCGGGATCTGGCAGCTCTGAGCAGCAGTAGCGTTGTGTTAATTCGCAGTTGTTTGCTTTCTGATAGAAATACAAAGATTAAAAACATACCTTTAATTAATTTATTCCTTGCTGTCCCTCTTGGTTTCAGCCCCACCTGCTTCTCTGCGCCTTTCTAAGGTTGCATGCCTTGTTTTATTTTTCTCTGTGCTTCAGTGCCACTTTCTGATGTGATCCTCCAGCCAGATTATAGAGTGAACTGAAGCGCAGCCGAATTTCTCTGTTCGCGTCCTCCCATAGGAGAATCTGTTAAATATTTTGATAGGAGATCTTTGGGGGGAAGACTGCTTGCCAGAGGAGTCTCTGTAAGGAAGGAAGCAAATGGAAAAGCAGGCACAGACCTCTTTTTTTTTTCTTTTTTCTTTTAATGTTTGTGCTTTCACTTCATTGGTGTTTGTAGTCATTACCACACATGCATCAAAAACCTGCAGCACCAGAGGGAATTTTCCTCACCCGTTGACAGTTTGCTGGAATTTTGCTGCCCAGATTTGCACGCGGATGTGAGGCAGAAAAACAAGCTCTCGAATGAAGAAACTCGTTTATGAAATACAATGATGTGGTTCCCTGTATCAGTCGGAGAGATTCTCTCTCCTTTGATCTTGGGGAGCCGCTGGCACGTTTGTTTCATGAGGACTGATGCCCTTCAGATCTGTTCTGTGCCCAGAGTTGGGATTGCTTTCCTTGCTGCTCCCCAGAAGCTAAAATCTGTGCTGTCAGCTCTGAGGCGCAGGCAGGGGAGCAAAACAGGCACCGGGTCGGTTGTGTCAGGTTTGCTGCTGTCCCCTCCGATCAGCCAGCACCTTTCAATAAAAAAAATCCCAGAGGTTCTCATTTATTGGCGCTTAAGAAACTATGAAATAAAATGTGCCCTAGTTTGCTTTAATCTTGTTTTCAGCATAAATTTAGTTGACATAATTCTCAGTAACCTCACTGGAATAATGAATCTTCTGGTTAAGAAAAATCTGCGCTCGGTTACCCGTTATTTCCTAAATCACTTTACAGTAGAGAGTTTCCTGTGGGTGCCTGGGCATTTGCTTGGGATTGCTTTTCTGTCTTCAAGGCCAGGGCAGTGTGCTCAGCTGGATATTTTGGGAGGTTGAACCCAAGCGTGATTTTGGTCTCTGCAAGAAACATCCCTTGTGGCTGCTGCCCTTTAAACTCGGCGCATGCAGGGAGGAGGTCGTTGGTGGGTTTTAGTGTTTCTAATATTTTTTTTTTCATTTACTATTCATCTCACAGGGAACGGTGAGCTGAGCAACAAGGAGTTTGTGGCCATCATGAAGCAGCGCCTTATGAGAGGCCTGGAGAAGCCCAAGGACATGGGCTTCACGCGACTCATGCGGGCCATGTGGAAATGCGCCCAGGAGACCGCGTGGGACTTCACCGTGCCCAAACCTTAGCGGGGTGGGGAAGGAGCGCCCGGCTTCCCTCTCTGAACCCCACCACCACCGTCACCGCTGCTGCTGCGGGTGTGGCACCAGGCTCTGGCGAGCCCAGATGTTGATAACAGGAGATTTTTGTAAATCAGAGTTAGAAATCAAAGCCTGTTGTATTTGCAGCTTCTGCTTGCTGCCGGCCCCTTCGTATTCCTTTGTCTCAGGAAAAAAGGACTTTTCTTATTGCTGTCACCTCCGCTTTGTGATGCGCCCTGCCTGCAAAGCTGGTGGGGCTGCACCCAAATCACTTTAATGTATCACAAAAGGGTATGGGGTTTATTTTAATTCTGAGATTGCTCCTAAGAAAGAAGCCGTGGGATACCTGAATAGATCATAGCGGTGGGAGCAAAGGCTGGAGCAGCTGGGTGCCGAGAGAATTCCAGGATTTCAGTCAGCCAAATGCTCCGTGCTCTCCCAGACTGTTGGGTGGTCCAAGGGGCTGGGTGCACCCCCAGAGGGGCTGCGTGAGCCTTTGCTGTAAGAGCAGTTAAAAATAGTGGAGTGACTGGGTCTGCTGCCCGTCCAGCCTTGCATAAGCAAGCTGCTGCAGGCAGTATCCAGGTATTTTTTTTAAATGGAGAATTGCCGTTCTGTAACGGGAACAGGCTGTAAAAATTTATTTGCCGAGTGCTGTCCTCTCTGTAAATTATTGTGTAAAGATGTTGCTCACAGCAACATGGCTCGTGGCTCATCTCTTGCTTGAGGTCTTTGCCAAAGGCTGGTGGCGAGTCACCAGAGGTGAGGTGTTTTGGAAGGAGAAAAAAAGGTGAATAAAACTCTTATTCTAGAATGTTTTTGCACAGGATATGAATCCTGCAGTTCCTCTCCTCTCCTGCAGTTTGCATGCTGGTGGCGTGCTCACTTTAGGCATTGATCCCTATGCTGCCACAGCAAGGGTGCTGGGGTGCAGATTTTGCCCCTCCTACCCCCATGGAGGGTTGTTCTCGCTGCCTGTCCTGCCCGCTCCCTCCAATCCCACAGGGAGCCTCCACGGAACCATCACCTGTCTGGAAATCCTCTCTTTTGAAAGAAGCAGCAGCCTGTTGCATCCCTGCTAGGACAGAATCCCTCAAACCCATTTTTAAAAAGGCTAGAAAGGAGAATATTGACCCGTGAGCCTCACCTCTGTGCCTGGGGTCACCATGGAACCAGCTGTCCTAGAAGCTGGGTCACCATGGAACCAGTCCTCCTAGCAGCTCTGCTAAGGGAGGGACGAGGAGCATCATCTCCAGGAGGCAGGGTCCTGGCCAGAGCCCCCGCTTCGCTTCCTGCAGTGCCCCCGTAAGGGGAATTGCCCAGTCACGTCCTCAGTTGCCTCCAAACCGTCCGTTTACACTCACCTTGAGGGCACCACGGGACTGTGAAGGGCTGGCGGACAGGGAGGTGACTGAAGGCAGCCAGCACGGCTTTAGTGTGGACAAGTCCTGCCTGAGCAGCCTGATGGTTTTCTACGATGGAGTGACTACCTCAGTGGTAGAACGAGGGATGTCATCTCTCTGGACTTCTGTAAGGCCTTTGACACGGTCACAGAGTCACAGAACGGGTTGGGTTGGAAGGGACCTTGATGACCATCTCGTTCCAAGCCCTTGCCACGGGCAGGGACACCTCCCATCAGGTTGCTCCAAGCCCCGTCCAGCCTGGCCTTGGGCACTCCCAGGGATGGAGCATCCACAGCTTCTCTGGGCAACCTGTCCCAGTGTCTCACCAGCCTCACAGTGAAGAAATTCTTAATTCCTAATCTAAATCTACTCTGCTCCAGTTTAAAACCAACGCCCCACAGCCTATCACCACATGTCCTTGTGAACACACCCTCCCCTTCCCTTTTTATCCTTCCCCAAAGATGGGTTTGGCTCCTGGGCACAAGGGTGGCCCCACAGGAAAATACTAATCAGGTGTGGCCCCGGCTTTTCTGCACACTTGGCTAATTTGTTGGCACAAATGGAGTTTTATATCTTTTGTTTTCCTGTTCCCAGCTGTTTACCTTTAGCTTTCCTTGTCTAAGGTAATTATAACCAACCTAGGTGTCCTCTTCGTCCTCTTTGCTTTTTCCTCCATTGCTCGTATACCCAGCCTTTCTCCATCAAAGCAAAACACTCTCCTTTTTTTTTTTCTTTCTGTGCAGAAGGCCCCAAGATGGTCCAGTCTAGATTTTTGCCACATACAGCTGCTTGCAGGACAAATGCAGACAAACCCATATAGCTCATCTCCCAGCAGACCAGTGCACGCGCAAGCTGGCGTGGGAGCCCAGGCCAGCCATCTCTGGTCTCTCTGAGCCTTCCAGAAGAGCAGATCAGATAGCCTTGGCCACCTAGATGTCAGAATAGCCCGAGACACATGCACGCTCTGTTTCTCTTTTGGTTTTCCTCTTTTGCGAGCAAAACAAGCAGAAGCACGCAACCGACCCACCGGCGATGTGCTGAAACGGAAAGGCTTTAGAGGAGCACGTGGGTTTCTCTCCAGACGTTTCTCCTCGGGATTTTGATCCACGTTGACGTGACAGGCTGGGAAAGCACCTGAGGAGATGGGCACAGCCTACCCAAGACAGTAACCCATCAGCTCAGGGGGATTTTGCCTGATATTTCTGACCTGCTGCCATCCATCATGTCAAAAAACCCACTGCTGGAGAAGAGCCTCAAATCACATCAGCACAGGGGACCGTGACAGCTCAGCAGGGGGAACAAAGCCAGCCCACACTTAACCGAAGCTGTGACAGTCCCTCGAGTCACTATTACACACGCTCAAAAGATCCTCTGCAACGCAGAACCCCCCCTCTGCCACGGGTTAGCCACTGCCATGGGTTAGGAACAGATTTTTTGGGACACCCCAGCGCTCAAAGCTGGGTTTACAGAATAGCTCCCTCCAGCCCTCAGTACGGTTTGCATCTCATGGCGAGCAAATTGTAAAATCCAGCAGGACTGACCCAAAGGAGATTTCCTAAACATGCAACGGAGAAGTCAAGAGAACCTGACGTGGGCTGCTCCGGTGCTGCCAGGCATCCTCTCTCCAGCAAAATAAATCCATCAGCACCTAGTGATTGCACAGCAATCACTTCAGAACCTGTCACGGGGACAGAATTCAGTACATCCACTGCAGAGGTTTGGGCCAGCTTAATCACAAGGGGAATTTTCAAACTCAGGTGCTTCAACAGAAGAAAGTGGGCACCAGTTGGTCAAAGCTATCCACGAATTTGGGCCCTTGGAAAGATGGGTTACTGCAAAAGCTGCCCAGTGAAAGCCACGAGGCAAGACTGACACAGAATGAATTGAGATGCAAGGAAAAGTTAAGTTAGAATCACAGACTTGAGAAGACCTTGAAGATCAAGTCCAACCATTACAACTTCTGAGAAGGTGTCTGCCTCATCAGCCTATTTGGAGCTGGAAACCCCAGCTGGGAGGGGTTTGCATCTCTGCATTGTCATTATTTTATGTTGTTATTGCTGCGGTGACAGGACAGTGATTTTTCTCCCCATTTCTTTCCCGCCCCATGCCTGCCCAGAGCACGGACAACGGTGCCATCTCCTGGTGGCACCTTGTCCTCACCAGCTGCGTGAGTGGCCCAGAACCATCTGGACTGGAAAAGTCCTTCAAGATCACCAAGCCCAATCATTTACCCAATGCTGACGAGTCCTCGAGGAGGGACAGCAGGACAAAACCTCACCCTGGGACCTTCACCTCAAACCCTTCGGGCTTTGCTTCCCTGGGGAAGGAAATGAAATTCCTGAGACACGGTTGTAGCACAAGCCCCCCACCCGGTAACTGCCCATGCAAGCCCAAACCAACCCATAAATCAATTTGTACAGCTCACCTCCCTGAGGGACTTTGGTGGAACCATCCTCATGCTGGTCCACCTGCGGCACCCGACCCCAAAACCAGGCTGGAGGGATGCTCAGGGGGATTCCCAGGCTGCTTGAGCCAGACCCGAATCCCTGCAGACACTCAACCCAGCAGGAACTAATGAGCGATGAATGTGAGAGGAATGAGCAGATTGTTTCTTTTTTTTTTATTAGACTAGGAAATATAATTTATTGCATAAAAATTAATTTGTTACAATAGGAATGCTAAACTTTATTTACAGTTCTTTTAGTTTACAGAATAAACAGATGTGGTTTTTAGAGGACGCCACCAGGCCCATCCCCTGGACATATAAATATGGAAACAGATTGCGGAGCAAGAGACGGACGCTGCCAGCACGACACGGACCATGGGCTTGCCTTTGCTCCCCGGTCTGAAAAACAAGGAGAACCTTCCCACACACATACCTCAGCCAAAAAGGGAGGGGAAGATGAATGTGGACGGATAGGGGATGGCGGCAGAGGCACCCGCGCGTGGGACGGATGGATGGACAGACAGACAGGCCTGTGATCCGCGAACTAGTGACAATGAGGATGACAGCGAGAGAGATTTCAGACACGACCCCAAAGA